TACGAAAGGTTACGAAGTCACTTAGCTCGACGTTAGGAGAGTCAAGGGGAACGCCATACCTACATAGAAGACCCGCTGTTCGCTGACTTTCTAAGGTCTAACCTTTCGCTCCCCTACTGAAAAGGGACAAAGCCGCTTTGCACCACTGATAGACTACTTAAGATTCCATTCAAAAGGCCCCACTTAGTTTCGCAAGCCTTTGTCATTGTCAGTCAACTAAGTAGGGCCTGAGGCCCCCTGCGAATCCGTAAATCTGAGGAGCATGCCGCAACAAAAGGATGGTCCCCTATGCATTTCATTCTTTCCGGAAGGGAAATCAAAAGTACCCCCCATCATAGTGAACCTCTCCTTGTGATCGGGATGAGGTAGATGCCTCCCAGCCAGGGGGCGGATCGAATCGGAGTTTCCTTAGGTAGCCACCGACCTACAGTTATCCTTAAACTTCCGTGCTTGGTGGAGAAGAAGCGAACAAAGGTACGCTCGCTTGCTGTCTTGTTCTCTGTCGCGAACTGGGATCGCTCGCCAGCTAGGTCAGATTGGAGCAAGATTGTATGAGAAAATATTACCCATTTTCGGGGACAAGGGGCGGAACGACCTCTCGATCTACTTACTGCAGCCCAGGAAGAAAAACGTCGTCTAGGCGTTCCCTGTTGCTCCGATCTCCCCTACGCCTAGGACGTTGTCTGGGCCAAGAGCCATAGTTAGTTGCTGTTTCCATTTTGTTGTTTTTTTCTCGTTGTTGATACCGGCAAGACCCAGCCAGATGATGTCTGCTGGTTGGTAATGAGAGGACTCTTAGTACCTGCATACCCAAAAGGGGGCGCTGGTTAAAAAGCAATCATTTGATTTAGTTTCTTGCTCTCCCTTAGCAGCGGGAAAGGAGTCTATCTATCTGCCTAGCTTTGGTAGATTTCCCCCAACGCAATCCACAGAAATTCCACGAATCCCTTGGTGGATAAGTCCGACGACTCAGCAGCAGTGCGGAATTGAGTTTCTCGTCTGGTGGATCTGATCTATAGTTAGGGGGCAATACATACCAAAAGGTTCAAAGAAGGAACGCGCATAAGAATATATAACCAACCCACCCTTCTGTATAACCTATTCACATTAGTGAAGCGGCTGGATGCATAAGGGAAGTGCACGTTTGTGAGACCTTAGTCGGGATGCATAGGGGAGTCAACCTACGAGCACGGAAGAGCGTGGTACCGCTACCCCTCTCTAAGTAAAGGTCAGATTCTTAGCCCTTAAACAGATAGGTGATGACTCCATCTAAAATCAAAAAAATAGGGACAGCCGTTTCCGGCTGCAAGTTGAGTAGAACCCATATTATCATCATAAAAGGTAATAGGAGAAGAAGGAGCTATGCCAAGATCATGAATAAGATATGATATCTATAGAAGGTCAGAGGTAGCAGAAGAAAGAGCCAACTATTCTGTCTCGGTACTATACTGAGAAAGAGTCACTTGCTTTTTCCTTGACCACGAAATAGGATAAGCTCCAAGGAATATGCAATGGCTCATAGTGGAGCGTCTTCTATCAGGACACCCAGCCCAGTCGGAATCAACATAACCTGCTAAAGTAGAGGATGATGTCAAAATAAAGGAGATGCCAAAGTCGATCGTAGCCTTAAGATAGCGCAAAATACGTTTAACAGCTTGAAGATGAGTATCACGAGGTGAGTGCATGAACTGACAAACTTGTTGCACTGCATACATGATATCAGGGCGAGTGAATGTAAGGTATTGCAAAGCACCAACAATCTGCCGATAGGATGTAGGATCATCAAGAAGAATTCCATCATAAAGAGAAAGTTTACGACCCAGGAGTAGAACATGATATGCAGTCAAGCATATTCATCCGAAATAGAATGGAAAACAATATATTTAGACTGTGTGAGTTTAAGCGTAGAAGTGGTTCGAACAGCCTCAACCCCAAGAAAGTAATGCAAAGAACCTAGATCCTTCATAGCAAAATGAGAAGAGAGATGATCAACCACAGAGTGAAGTAAGGGTGAGGAAGACCCAGTCAGGATGATATCATCAACATAGAGAAGAAGGTTCTTCTCTATGTTGATGATATCATCCTGACTGGGTCTTCCTCACCCTTACTTCACTCTGTGGTTGATCATCTCTCTTCTCATTTTGCTATGAAGGATCTAGGTTCTTTGCATTACTTTCTTGGGTTGAGGCTGTTCGAACCACTTCTACGCTTAAACTCACACAGTCTAAATATATTGTTTCCATTCTATTTCGGATGAATATGCTTGACTGCATATCATGTTCTACTCCTGGGTCGTAAACTTTCTCTTTATGATGGAATTCTTCTTGATGATCCTACATCCTATCGGCAGATTGTTGGTGCTTTGCAATACCTTACATTCACTCGCCCTGATATCATGTATGCAGTGCAACAAGTTTGTCAGTTCATGCACTCACCTCGTGATACTCATCTTCAAGCTGTTAAACGTATTTTGCGCTATCTTAAGGCTACGATCGACTTTGGCATCTCCTTTATTTTGACATCATCCTCTACTTTAGCAGGTTATGTTGATTCCGACTGGGCTGGGTGTCCTGATAGAAGACGCTCCACTATGAGCCATTGCATATTCCTTGGAGCTTATCCTATTTCGTGGTCAAGGAAAAAGCAAGTGACTCTTTCTCAGTATAGTACCGAGACAGAATAGTTGGCTCTTTCTTCTGCTACCTCTGACCTTCTATAGATATCATATCTTATTCATGATCTTGGCATAGCTCCTTCTTCTCCTATTACCTTTTATGATGATAATATGGGTTCTACTCAACTTGCAGCCGGAAACGGCTGTCCCTATTTTTTTGATTTTAGATGGAGTCATCACCTATCTGTTTAAGGGCTAAGAATCTGACCTTTACTTAGAGAGGGGTAGCGGTACCACGCTCTTCCGTGCTCGTAGGTTGACTCCCCTATGCATCCCGACTAAGGTCTCACAAACGTGCACTTCCCTTATGCATCCAGCCGCTTCACTAATGTGAATAGGTTATACAGAAGGGTGGGTTGGTATATATTCTTATGCGCGTTCCTTCTTTGAACCTTTTGGTATGTATTGCCCCCTAACTATAGATCAGATCCACCAGACGAGAAACTCAATTCCGCACTGCTGCTGAGTCGTCGGACTTATCCACCAAGGGATTCGTGGAATTTCTGTGGATTGCGTTGGGGGAAATCTACCAAAGCTAGGCAGATAGATAGACTCCTTTCCCGCTGCTAAGGGAGAGCAAGAAACTAAATCAAATGATTGCTTTTTAACCAGCGCCCCCTTTTGGGTATGCAGGTACTAAGAGTCCTCTCATTACCAACCAGCAGACATCATCTGGCTGGGTCTTGCCGGTATCAACAACGAGAAAAAAACAACAAAATGGAAAACAGCAACTAACTATGGCTCTTGGCCCAGACAACGTCCTAGGCGTAGGGGAGATCGGAGCAACAGGGAACGCCTAGACGACGTTTTTCTTCCTGGGCTGCAGTAAGTAGATCGAGAGGTCGTTCCGCCCCTTGTCCCCGAAAATGGGTAATATTTTCTCATACAATCTTGCTCCAATCTGACCTAGCTGGCGAGCGATCCCAGTTCGCGACAGAGAACAAGACAGCAAGCGAGCGTACCTTTGTTCGCTTCTTCTCCACCAAGCACGGAAGTTTAAGGATAACTGTAGGTCGGTGGCTACCTAAGGAAACTCCGATTCGATCCGCCCCCTGGCTGGGAGGCATCTACCTCATCCCGATCACAAGGAGAGGTTCACTATGATGGGGGGTACTTTTGATTTCCCTTCCGGAAAGAATGAAATGCATAGGGGACCATCCTTTGGTGCGGCATGCTCCTCAGATTTACGGATTCGCAGGGGCCTCAGGCCCTACTTAGTTGACTGACAATGACAAAGGCTTGCGAAACTAAGTGGGGCTTTTGAATGGAATCTTAAGTAGTCTATCAGTGGTGCAAAGCGGCTTTGTCCCTTTTCAGTAGGGGAGCGAAAGGTTAGACCTTAGAAAGTCAGCGAACAGCGGGTCTTCTATGTAGGTATG